ATAAAGGTGTTTATTTATTAGTTGTCTGAAAATTTTCTCCCTATCGGTTGCCATATTTTTAATGCATTGATAATGCAGATCAATGCACCAAAAAAGTATTTTTTCTGTGACTTGTAATCGTTTGTTTAGAATATAATTTTGTAAATTGACTTTGTGGGATGATTTTTAATTAATAATTCAGTCAGAGGGAAAATAAAAGAGGGTACGAAAGCAATCGCGAAACCTGTAATTTCACAAAGATCCACTGAGACACCAATATCCAGGTTTCCATCACCCTTCGGGCATCGATAACGATCTAGATCGTGCCGCGCAACAAAAAACCATTTCGCTGGTGCTCAAGAGATAGAATCAAGTTGCTGGACAGCAGCCTCACACTTTGAGCCTCATAATTAACCGCGAGTATCAGATACATTTGGCTCAGATATGGGTGATTATCTAATTTGCTTTGTTGTTTCGGGAATCGAAAGTTAGATAGGCGAAAATTTTTATTCCCTTCAACGAATAATGCATTTTCATATCACCCGATTATTTATTTTATTAATATATTTATTTATTCGAAGAAGGCTACCGTGGCCTCGGAATCTATAGTTTGTAAACAACATTTTTTTATTTTATTATATTGTATAATTTTTATTTAAATGGAAAAGTTTTTGTTATTATTATTATAAAATTCCTAAATTTTATTATTTTGTGCTTAGTAATTGAAAAAATTTTTTCATTGAAATTCTGAGTTACATTTATTCGAAAAATAATTTTCTTTTTCCTAATAATATAGAATATATAATTATCCAAAAGAAATTTCTTTTTATTAAATGACATTACATAAAAATTGAATAAAAAATTTTTTTCCATTACCGGAAAAGTGTTTTGCGTTAATGGAATAATTTTTTCTGTTACTTTAAATACATGTCAATAGACCAATATTTCTATTACGATAAAATTCTATTAACGAAATTTTACTCTAATATTTAAAATTAAGTTTAATAAAATCCATTTTTATTTTACTAAACAATTTTCTTTCTATTAATGAAAACTTTTATTCTATCAACAGAATTTTGTTGGCCTGAATAAAAAATAATTTTCTTCCATTAACAGCATTTTCTTTCCGTTTTAAAATTTTTTTAAGAAATTGACGGTTTTTTAAAATAAATTTTTATAATATTCATCTGGTTTTTTTTTCTATGGAAGTTTTTATTTCATTATCAAAATTATTTTTCTGTCAATATAAATTTCCATTCTATTAACAAAATTTTCTTCCTATTAACACTAACTTTTATAATATCTACCAAAATTGCAATCTAACAAGAAAAACCATTTTACTATCCATTAATCCTTTTTTCATCACAACAATTCTATATTAATTTTTTTCCACAACGAAAATACTATTAGAATTTTCTTCATATTAAATTTCTATTTTACCAACAAAATTTTTCCATCAAAAATTCTTTAACCCCCAACAAAAATAGTTTTTCTCTAATAGAAATATTCTTTCCATAAATAAAATTTCTTTTATTAAAAATTTCAATTCCATCAATTAGAATTTCCATTCTATTAATAAGATTTTTTTCTTAAAAACTAAGATCAATTTTTCCCAAACGAAAATTTTTCTTCCATCAATGGAATGTCTCTCACTGAAAATCTTAATTCCATTAATGATATTTTCTATTCTATTGATAGAATTTTCTTTCCATTACCAAAAAAAAAATTGATAAAATCCACCCAAATGATCATCTAATGAGAAAATTTATTTTACTATCCATGAATTTTCTTTCCATTGATAAAAATTCCTCAAAAATTTTCCCAATAAAAACTTCTTTAACACCCACAGATCAATTTTCCTCTAATGGAAGCTTTTCCTCCATCAACAGAATGTCTCTCGCTGAAAATTACTGAAAATTAAATTCGCCCAGCAATTTTCCCATAAAGCCAAAACTAAAATTTCAATTCTAATGTGAAGAAACCTCTCCTCTCTCCTGACTCCTAAGAGCAAGCATCATCTACTCACCATTGACCATATTGTTACGCAAACAGATGATGATCATGAAACATGAGCACTCGGTTGCACTTAAACGACACACAAAAAAGAAAATTACCAGCCAGCAACTAGCAACTAGCAACAAACTAAACGATAAAACAATAATCCACAGAATCAATCCACTGTCATATCACTGGACACTGATCAGTTAGGTGATCCTGATGATCAATCCGTCTGAACCGAAAGAGGTATCTTTGAAATAAGCGTTTTGTTTCGAAACTTAGACTTAGACTTGGACTTAGTGGGACTAAGATCTCGACTAGTTATATAGACGGGTTATATTGACGCTTGGTGATAATGTCTGTGGTAGTGTGTAAGTGTCGCTCGAGATGGTAAAAGCAAATGGTTGTATAGAGAGTGTAGAGTGTGTGATCGGCGAACCTGTGCCACGAAACTGTGCTGCCGATCTCTCTTTTCTGCTGTTTCCACCTCCTCTGCTTCTCAGTTTACGAGGAGACCACCACCTTTTCTTCGGTTACGAGTTTACTTGCTGTAGTGGGCATACATCGGCTTACTTGGTTTGCTGACTGGATACGCTGCTCTTTCTTCATCATCATCATCATCATCATCATCATCATCATCTTCTTCTTCTTCTTCTTCTTCATCTTCTTCCTCTTCGTCTTATTTTCCTGTTTTCCTTCTCCTATGCTACATTAGGCGAGTCTTAGCATCTTGTACGAGGTACTCGGTACTGATAGTTTCGCGGTCTCTCACTCTCTTGAGATATTTTCTTAAGAGTAGAGATACTACGCAGCAAAGCGAGGACCAGATGTAGAGATAGATGTGAGCGAGTGAATAAAAAGCTATGGACTACCGGCAATGTAAAAAACTTAAGATTGCTTCGGGCCTTACACCTCGAACCAGTTAAACTTGTCGTGTTACTGAGGTTAAATTGGTACCAGCATCTTCCTATTCAAACTGAATCTGATTTACAAAGGATCGCTTTTGACCTTAACGGGCGCGCATTCTCTTTCTTTTAACTGTTGTCTTGATTTTTTTTGCCAATGCACTGCATCAGCTTAACCTGATTAGAAGAAGTTAGTTTTATAATCAGCAATAACCAGATCTCAGTACTTGTCTTTTAAAATTGCATTACTACATTGATAAAGAGTGCCAATGCAAAAATTATTAGAACTTTAAACCAATGTTCCGCTCCTAAAGATATCTGCGGAATTATAGTTGTTGATTTTTAGAGTAATTCATGCAAAAACACTAATTTTGTACTGCATTTACTCACAAAGTCAATGTAAAGAAATTGTATTGATGCTGCAACAAATCAGTCAAAGCTTATTTTTCAATAAAATAGTTTTTAAACAATCGTGAAACATTTTACATATCATTGCATTGTATCGACAAAGAGAGTCAATTCAAAACACGAATTATGTACTGCACTAACTTTTTAGATCAATTTTAAAAAATTGCATTGACGCTGGATGAAATTAACTCTTAACGGCCACAAGGGGTGACTAGTTGCCCCAGGCTGTAAAAAAGTGGAATTAAAGGTCTTAAACCTTTCAAATAAATGCAATAAACGGCATCTGCCGTGAATCTGCACTGAAAAAAAATTAACTTGATTCAAGACAAAAATTCGTGGATCAATTGATTTACTTAAGTAGAATTTCCTTAAATCAAGAATTTTTGTACTCAAATCAAGAATATCAAGTTCTTCAAAATTATATACTTGATTCAAGAACATTTTTTTTTCTGTGTGAGTATAGTAAATTTTTTTTGCAAAAAAAGCCATTTTTCCAGAATTTTGACTTATATGATCAGATTTTAGAACGCCATCTATAAATTAACCAAGTTTTAAACCATTAGAAATATTGAAGAACTCGTCAACGAACATGAAAAAATTAGTTAAAAGACTTAAAACATTTACACTACTTGTCCGACCGGGTTTTTCAGCGTGGGGTAATGAGTTACTCCATATGGCTGTTATGTGACCTGGGTGAGGTGTGGCTGTTAAGGGTTAAACCCTTTGAATAAAATATTTATTGTAGTATCAATACCTGTTAAATAAAATTTTATTGTATTGAAAAAGTGAATCAATGCAGCATATTTAAGCCCATTTATCATCAAAAAATTCAGTATAGTAATTGATTTCTCCTCTAATTCATAACGAATTTTACTCTACATTGGCTTACTAAATAATTTTAGAAAGCAAGAATGTATGAAATAGTTACTGCATTGACAAATCAAGTCAATGGAGTAAAATTCTTCTATTTTTGCCAAATTTATCATAAAAAAAATTTTTTTTTTCTGTTACCTCTTCTAAAAATCTCCGACGAATAAAAAAATTTTTTTCAAATCAATTTACTATCACTGGATCTAATTCTCCAGCCAGCCACTTAATCACACGCTTGCTTAAATTTCACCAAAAAAAAAAAAAAAAAAAGGGTCCATTACCAATTCACCGTACAAAGGAAGTCTGGATCGCTGTAGGCTCTTCTACTAACTCGGTAGCAAAGTGAATTTTCTCAATTGGGAAACATTCTCAGAAGTAATTATTATATTTTTTACCTAGCGCCTAACTTAATTCTAGTTCCTTCTTACAATACATGTAAATATGCGCGTGGCGCCGTATTTGTATATATAACTTTTGTGTATATTTGTTTCTCTTGATGCGAGCTGCTTAGTCATCTATACGAATATATAATACCAATTTTTGAGCACAAGAATTGAAAATAACCCTCTCACTCGCTACTGCGGCCTCTTTAATTGCTACTTAGTAAATTATATTTCTTTACCTGAAGCGAATAACAGGAGACGAAGAAAATAAGAGAAACAAATCAGAGAATTGTGCAGCGTGTAATCAAATGTGTAATTTTCATTAAATGCAAATAACAATAATAACTAAAAATTGTGTATTTTGTACATTGAGGTGATTTAAAAGTCTATTATTATATTATTCTCCTTCAATTGGATGGTCACGAAATCTAATTGAAGTTTCGTCAGTGCTGGAACTTTAGGATCCAAGAGAAGTTATTTCTTTGGCAGCAGGCCCAAGGATGTCATTCAAGTAACTTTTGAATTTTTCACACTTTTGCTGGCTGTTAAAGTCCTGGGAACTGCCCCAAATTATATGTCCGTCAGCGCCATTTTTTATCATTACTTTGAAGCTACTTAATATGTCTTCCTGCAAAAATTCATTTATTTTATTCGAGATTATTGGAATACTTTATTCTTTTACAAAAATTCCCCTTTTTTATTTATATTTTATACTCTATGAAGTTTGCCTATATGTTTTCATATATGTTGGATGTATCCGTTCATATATAAAAAACTTTTAAATTTTCCGAAAAATCGGTAAGAGGTAATTGGCTTATTTAAGGCGTTAACCTGCCAATTTTAGTCTTTTTTCAATAGCAATAATTTATATTTGTTTTATATATAAAAATATACATATAGGCCAACTTTTAAGCAAATATATAAATTGTTCATATAAGTTTTCCTCGAAAATTCATATAAATTAGATAAATGTGGAATATAAATTTTGTATATATTTGCTTATCTGTTTTCATATATATTTTTTTCAACGGGGGTTCAATAAAATTTGATTTCCTAAATAATCCAGGCCGTCTTGAATTATTACACTAACTGATTACAATAATTGATTTGTTGATAATGACCTTGTTTAAATAAATATCACGTTGGTCGAGGAACTTAAACCAAAAATACGGGATTACAGGACGATTTGGAAATTTTCGACTTAACCTAACAGCTTCGTGTAGCCGCCCGACAATTAAACCCAATCGCTCATCATTAGACAGAGATTTTCGCAAATAGACTGATGGTAGAAAGGTATCTTCCAGCTTCCACAGCCACGACATTCTGGAAGAAAAATAATGATTGGATGAATGGTAAAGTGAGTAAAAAAACCAAATTTTAGTTATCTGTGAAATTACTGGTCGTTTTCTTGGAGCACTCGAGGGTCACATGACGCACTAGGTTGGTTCGGTGTCAGGTTGAAGCAATAAGGATATGCATAGTAGCTCCAGGAGGCATTGGGACGCAACTGCTTCGCCAATTTTATTGTTTCCTCCATGAACACCCGACCGGCGGTTTCGAACAATTGAACCGCGTGCTGTTTGATAGCGTTCTTGCTCCAATTTCTATGGCGCGCTGCTTCCAGCTCGATCGACAAGTCGCGGTAAGGAGCCAGAGACGCCGAATTTTGCCGGAAAATCGGTCGCCAGCTTTCGAAGTCAATCACTCCGAGTCCGGAAAAGTTTTCTTGGATCTGTTCTTCTAGATGGATCTTGAATAAATTTAGGTGGCTTTGCAAATTACCTTCTTGGGGTACTCCGCCGTTTCTGCGAGTTATTGTACCTTAAAATTTTTTTTTAAATATAATAAGAATAATATATGACAAAGAATTAATTCAAAATTTATATTTTAATGAGATTAACTTATTTTTTTTTTGGAATAGTTTATTGATTTATTGATTATTGAATAGAAAGTTGGTAAGAAGTTGGTTCTGAGTTAGTTAAGGACGCGGGCGACAGAGGGCCATTTGTCGAATGTTGAGGTTGAAGACGCTTACAGGAGAGGGTGTTGCAGAATTTGATGGCGCAGTTAATTTAGAATTAGAGAATAAAAGGGTATATCTTATTTTGTGCGAGGATTTTTATAAGGAACATGATCGGTTGGACAATTGAAGAATTGAGAAAAAATTAGAATTGAAAATAGATATATCCCGATAATTTAAAGAGTCCATGGAAAATTTTTGAAAAATTTTTCGGAGGACGAGGAGAATGATGGAAAATAAAGTTTCATTTGTTGAGTTACTACTCACCGTCGGGATTTTTTATCAACGCGGGAAACATTCCAGGATCGTAAAGTATTGCTATTTTTTCCCCGCGAAATTGGTCATTGGTATTCTGGATGATTCCGAATTTATCCAGATCATTGAAATACATTCCGTACTTGTGACACATAAATGTCGGCACATTCCAGTAAACTTTATAATCACGGGCTCTATAAAAATAAAACAGAGTTACAATCTCGCCTACTCCTCAGTAAAAATCTCTTCCTATTGATTCCGCTTTTATTTATTCATCTCAAAACTATTTATCGAAAAATTTTATCAAACCACTGGCGATTGTAATTGTTCGAAAGATTCCTCGCGGATCAAGAAAACCTCTAATCTCATTGTCCAATTTTATCACCTTTTTTCCTCAAGCGGTTGAATTTTCCACCCACCGACTTATTCATCATAAGCATTCGTTTTTTTTATATAAAAACTAGAATTCGTAATTTTCGTTAAAAATTTAACCAGTTAATTTTGAAGATTCTCCGCTGGATCACAGTTTTGAGTCATTTAGTCAATAACTAATAGTATCTAGATTAATAATCACATATGGTAAATATCTTACGCGTTATTTATGTCACCTACTTGAAGGCTCAGTAGAAACATGAACACATTAAACATAATGATTATTAATTATGTGCACTTCTTCAAATGAATTACCTTATTCAAACTCATTGTTTTTCTACTTTTCGTAATTTTCGTTAAAAATTCAACCAATTAATTTTGAAAATTCTCCGCTGGATTACACTTTTGAATTCAGTTAATCAACAAAATCCTTTAAATTGATAATCTTATCTCTTAATAAAAATCTTACTAAAAAATTTCCCTAACTTGAGTTAAAATTTTCCATAGTTAAAACTCTTCCCTCTAAATTCGCTCTAACCTATTCTGGGGGTTGATGACGCGCACACTAGAGAGCGCTCTAACAAATATTTAGACAATGCCTCAGATATAATCCTACCAAGAATTTAACTGCCCAAATTTCAGTAAAAAAATTTAACTAAATTCAAAAATTCATTAACATTTAAATATCTAATTTTTCTCCAAGATTTTTCTTGAATAATATTCTTGTTTTTATATAATTATACAACATATAATTTTACGGATAGTATTTATTAATGGTAACATACATTAAATTTTACTTTCAAATTCTTTTCTCAAACATTCTCTCATTATTTCCCCGCCCCTTTCCTTACCCAGTTAACAATTACAGTCGAGAGATAAAAAAAGTTCGTTAAACCCCGCAATTTATTTTCTTGTTAATAAAATAATCAATACTAAATAATCTTAAGACAATAATCAACAATTAATCGAGAGTCAATAATCAATGGAGATCTTAGATTTTAGATCTTACCTGAAACAAGCAGCATTAATGTTAATTATCCAAAAGAAAACAAAAAATGTAATGTACATAATAATTGTTAAGATAAACTTTTAATGAATTTTCCAGCACAACTGAAGTTAATGTCTCACTTACCGGGTATTTATTATACAGACTATTTTTCCCCACCTTCTATGTCCTCGCCAACGCGCGTATCAACAATGACATTAACCACAATGAAAATAAATAAACAAACAAAGTAACGCTAAATTTCAACAATCATGCTAACGTTGGTCGCTCTTTTCCGTAATTTAACTACATATCAATTTGGTTATTCATATTCTGATGAAAAAAAGCAACAGTGCTAGCTCATTCCGATTTCCCTGACGTGAATATGAGCGATTGTGGATGGCGACAGGATAGATACGGGCTCATTTACGCCGCGGGAAACGAAGTCACGGAAAAAGTATCATAGCTAACTTAATATAAGTGTATATAATGATGATGAGGACGAGTCAAGGATTGCTTTTTTATTTAATAACAATCTGTCGTTTTTTAATCTGCGAATCTGCAGGTGTTTAATTTTCCCACTTTTTACTCCACTGGTTACCTTTTTATCCCCGTGTACACACAAATAATAAATTATTCATTACTATGTGTTGACATAATGTACAGGCTATAAATTAAAACTAAGTGATGTTTATTTTTATTTTGTCTAATTTACAATGTAATTTTTTAGATAAATTATATTTTATTTTTCAGAACTCATTTTTTTTTTTTACATTATTATTTTATTATTTATTTTTGATAATCTCTCACAATAAAAGAAAATAGAAGTAATAATTAATAGATTATATTTAGATATTAATATAATATTATTTTTAGTATCAATGATTTTAAATTTCATTAAAAAATATATTTTATAAAACTTTGTATCTTTTTTACCGGTTTGAATTTAAAATTTTATCAATAAAATATTTTAAACAAAGTTAATAATTTTTTTTAGATTAATCTCAAAATGAAATTATAAAAAAAAATTTTTTAATAAAGTAAACCTGAGACAAAATGAATAATTTAACTAGACTAATAGTCACGATTATCAATAGCATAATGAATTAAGGAAATAGTAAAAAAAAAAGTTTTAAATAACCAGTTTTCGTTATCGTAAGAATGACATTAAAAAATAAATTAAAATAATAATACTTACTAAGAATTATAAAAGAGACCTTGCTAGTTGATACTACCGCCGACGAAGGTCTTGAGTACCTTTAACTTACCAACAATTATATATTATATACACCGAATGATAAGGTTTTCAATGTATGACCTCAAGTTGCGTTAAATGAATCTAATAAAATTTGTCGACGAGCTATTGCATTAATTGTTATGCTAATTCGACATGTTAATCCATTGTTATTCGGTATAATTGTTATTATTTACGTTCAATTCATTTTATTTACGACTTTTGGTGATTATGACACACAATTATACTTGGGATTTGGGTAGAATTGAAAAGCTGTTGAAATCCCGAGTGAAATGAGCCGTCGCTCGACTTGATCGGTCGCAGATCGATTTTTGATTAATTAATTAATAAAATATTAACGTCGTTAATTGTATGAAGAAGTGGTGATTAATAAGGGTTGTAGGGGCTCATTTTACTCGGGGTTTCATAATCTAGGTCGCGGTACTTGTGATTATTCGAACTGAACAATTTTATTTTTTCGTTAATCAAAAAGACGATTTTAGAGGCGAGAAATTTTTCACAGGCAAATTTATTGGGTTACTTAACTTAAGACGTTCAATTTGAGTTTTATAATATTAAACAACGCTTATTCGATGTTAAATAATAGGTAACATGAAAAAAAAAGCTTTGAATAATCAAAAAGTAACTTTAGAATATCGAGCAATTGTCGTAATTAATGTTAAAAGTGTTGTAAAATACTCTTTAATAATTGATTTCAAATAAAATTAGTTGGATAGTTGAAAAGGTGTTGAAATTCCGAGTGAAATGAGCCGTCGCTCGACTTGATCGGTCGCAGGTCGATTTTTGATTAATCGATTAATAAAATATTAACGCCGTTAATTGCATGAAGAAGTGGTGATTAATAAGGGTTGTAGGGGCTCATTTTACTCGGGGTTTCATAATCTAGGTCGCAGGACTCTTAAATTAAAAAAATAATGAATTTTATTTTTTTTTATTTATTATGAGACAATTTCTGAAATAACAAATTTCAGCAAAGACAAATTCGTCAAAGAATAGCTTTTTGCATTGCCAAATGTACAGAAAAATTAAATCACAATTCGTCTGAATTTGAATCTTCCAACGTCTCATAATTTGATGCGATGGTTTTTATGTTTACGATAGCTGGTCCAAGAGTGTTCTTCACATAAGTTTCAAAATTTACACATTTTTGTCTGGTATTAACATCCATGTAGCTACCCCAGATGACACAACCACTAGCGCCATTATTCAGCATCGCTTTAAAACTGTACAAGATTTCAGTCTGCAATATTAAAATATATTTTTTTATTTTTTTACTGGAAACAATTTTTAACCTGTTTTCTATCATCAGTGTAGTAAAGTAACAAGGAATGAAATAAAAAAACAACTTTGCAGTCTAGGTGGGTAAAGTAGCGTCTTTAAGGACCGACTGATCTAACACCGCCTAGTGCTAGAAATTCGAACTTCCTGAAAAGCGTAGCAAGCATAAAAACCTACCTCTTTGAGATAAACATCAATTTGGTCATTGAATTTGTACCAAAAATACGGCAAAATTGGACGCTTAGGAAATTTTTTATTTAATCTGACGGATTCTTCTACTCCACCAGCGATGTAATCTACTCGCTTCTCACTCGACATAGACTTGCTCAAATAGAATGATGGTAGAAGCGAACCTTCCAGCTTCCACAACCACGACAGTCTAGAAGAAGAATAATGATTAGATGAATAGTAAAGCGAGTGAAGAACAAAACTTTAGTTTCCTTTGAAATTACTGGTCGTTTTCTTTGACCACTCGAGGATCACATGATGCACTAGGATGGTCCGGCGTCAGGTTGAAGCAATAAGGGAACGCGTAGTAGCTCCAAGAAGCATTGGGACGCAACTGCTTCGCCGATTTTATTGTTTCCTCCATGAACAACCGACCGGCCTTTTCGAACAATTTAACCGCATGCCGTTCGATTGCGATCTTGGTCCAATTTCTATGGCTCTTAGCTTCCAGCTGGATCGTCAGGTCACGGTAAGGAGCCAGCGAGGCCCAATTTTGCCGTAAAGTCGGTCGCCAGCTTTCAAAATCGATCACTCCGAGGCCGGAAAAGTTTTTTTGGACCGTCTCTTCTAAGTGAGTCTTAAATAACTCTAGGTGGCTCTTCAAACGTCCCTTTTGGGGCAATCCGCCATTTCTGATTGTTATTGTATCTTAAAATAATTTAATAGGTAAATCTATCGTATCTTTATTTATCCTATACGTACGTTTTATCGTCTTTATAGCCCGGTCGAAATCGGTTCGTTCGTTCGTGAGTTATCGTTGTCGAAAGAAAACCGAAAAAAGTGTTTTTTCGGAATTACTTCGAAATTCCTAGTTTGATCAATTTAAACTCTTAACGAAGATTCTTCTTAAAGTTTCAAAAACTCCGTCGAATGTCGCCAACCGCGTGAAAATCGGCTAATCCATTCAAAAGTTATTGCGGTTTGAATATTCAAAAGATAGTGCGTTACTCAACTTCTATCAGACTTTTGATCTCGGAGAGCTCAAAATGACACGAAAATTATATTTTTGAGCCCGAAGAGTTCAAAAACGTAATAAGTGCAATTTTGAGCACTTTAGTATGGAATTAGCGGGAAGTTGCATCAGGGATGGCCTTTAGGGTCAACCGTCGTCCTAATTTTTTTTTTTTTGTGATCGTTACAAGTAATCAAAAAATGTATAGACAAATTGAAAAAAATTGTGGACGAATGTTCAGAAAGTTACTTTATACCATATTAAAGATATCGGATTAATTTATTGAGTATTGAATAGAAGTTGTTTCTGAGTTAAAGGACGCGGGCAACAGAGGGCCCTTTGTCGGATGGTGAGGTTAAAGACGCTTGCAGAATTTGATGGCGCAGTTAATTCAGAATTAGAGAATAAAAGGGTATATCTTATTTTGCGCCAGGATTTTTATAAGGAAAATGATCAGTTGGACAATTGAAGAATTGAGAAGAAATTAGAATTGAAAATAGATGTATCCCGACAATTTAAAGAGTCCATAAAAAATTTTTGAAAAATTTTCCGGAGAACGAGGAGAATGATGGAAAATAAAGTTTTATTTGCTGGGTTACTACTCACCTTCGGGATTTTTTATCAACGCGGGAAACATTCCAGGATCGTAAAGTATTGCTATTTTTTCTCCGCGAAATTGGTCATTGGTATTCTGGATGATTCCGAATTTATCCAGATCATTGAAGTACATTCCGTACTTGTGACACATAAATGTCGGCACATTCCAGTAAACTTTATAATCACGGGCTCTATAAAAATAAAACAGAGTTACAACCTCGCCTATTCCTCAGTACAAAACTCTTCCTATTGATTCCGCTTTTATTTATTCATCTCAAAACTATTTATCGAAAAATTTTATCAAACCACTGGCGATTGTAATTGTTCGAAAGATTCCTCGCGGATCAAGAAAACCTCTAATCTCATTGTCCAATTTTATCACCTTTTTTCCTCAAGCGGTTGAATTTTCCACCCACCGACTTATTCATCATAAGCATTCGTTTTTTTATATAAAAACTAGAATTCGTAATTTTCGTTAAAAATTTAACCAGTTAATTTTGAAGATTCTCTGCTGGATCACAGTTTTGAGTAATTTAGTTAATAACTAAAAGTATCTAGATTAATAATCACATATCATAAATATCTTACGCGTTAATTATGCCCATAGCTTGAAGGCCCAGTAGAAACATGAACACATTAAACATAATGATTATTAATTATGTGCACTTCTTCAAATGAATTTTCTTTTTCAAACGCATTGTTTTTTTACATTTCATCTTTTTATACTATTTTTTACACTTTTAAAACTCAGATAAAATATTATTTCCGCGATAAGAAGATAATTTTATTTCTAAATAAAAAAATACACTGAGCGTCTAAGTTTTAAAGCAATAAAAATATTTTAAATAAGCCAACTAAAGAAAGAATTTTTAAATTGTTACCATTAAAAAAAAATAATTAGTTAATCACAACTATTTATTGAGTTCCTAAAAAAAAAAAAAAAAAAAAAAAATTAAAGATACATAAATTTATTCCATCACAAAAATTCTATCTACACAATAATAAAGAAAAACCCTTAGAAAAAAAATTCAGAGCAAGAAAAAAGTGAATTTCTATTGGAATAAGCTTACAGTCTAAGCAAGCAATTTGATAAACTTTTAATTTTTTTATTTATTTATTTACTAAATTAAAATAGAAAGTAGTAATAATATTTTATTGATGTAATTAACACTAGAACTAGGAGTGTGATTGAAAAAACATTGTTTTTTTTTGTTTTTTTAGTGTTAATTCATTTTATTTATCGGGTTAGTCTATTGCAAGACCAAGCCAATTTTGTTGGGCGTCATACTGGGACAGCGCCAATTGTAGAGGTAGTATTGAAGATTTCCGTCGCCAATACCGAATTTTAGGTTTTCTAAAAATTCTTTATTATCCATTAGGTCTAATGCATTAAACACATCGAAGTCCAGCTGAAATTATTAATTATTTTTTATTATTCACTAAAAAATTGAACGCGCTTTGCGCGCTTCTGTTAAAATGTTTATTATCGACAATTTAATTAATCAATATTTTTACAAATTTTACTCATTAATATTTAACCGTTTCCATGGTAACCGTTGCCAAGGTGGTCACTATAGCAACAAAAAGCGACAACAATGAAAACGTCCCATCAACTTTTTAATAAAGATTATTAAATTAACAATTTATAATGAATGGTTTAAATTTTTGATATTATGGCAAAAAATACTGGTTCTATGAAAAATGTTTTCAAGCAAAAGTTGTTCAAAATTTAATTCTATATTAAAAATATCCCGTATGTTCTTTTTTTTAAGATCAATAATGTCAGCGTAATTTCAAAAGTAAGATTCATAATTATCACAAAATTTGGACCGTTCATTATCTTAATTTTGAAATTACGGTAAAAATATTAGTCGTATAAGGAAATCATAAGACATTTTTTGTAGAAAATTAAATTTTGAACAATCGTTATATTAAAGATTTGATCTAAAAATTATTTTCTTGGTTTAAAAATTAATAGTAAAAAAATAAAAGATTATCCTTACGTTTCTTGCTGAAATTAATGCATCAGTCATTAATTCAACCCATGGTGTTTTAGTAGAAACATTGTAAAAACTGTAGGCAGCTCGTAGTGTTTTGTGGACTTGGTGATGCATTACTGAACTCGGTAACGTGTAATAACTAACTAGATCTGTTATTTTATTATCATTTTCAACAACAAAACTGTTTATTATACCGTCCTGCGGTAAGAACCAGTGTCGAAATTCTTCCTTCGTGAAAACTGGTGCCAAGTCAAACTTCTCGAGATACTGGATAAATAAAATATTCATGTTATCATTATTTTCAGGATTTTTGCCTTAAATTCAAAATAACAATTAATAGTAAATGTCAAATTTTTGATAAGACGAAAATACTGGTCACATAACAAATTTTTTTTAATTAAAAGTTGTTCAATTTTCAATTTTATAAAAAAAATGTCGCTTAAAATTTTTTTATAGGACCAATATTTTCGCAGTGAAATCTAACATTTAAACCATTGATTTTTTAATTTTGACAAAAATCTTGGCCCAAGTATCATTAATGATTATTTTAATCACTTTAACTATAGTTGAATTAAAAAAAATAAATAAATAAATAAATAACAAACGCTTCCATGCAAAAAAAATTTTTTTCATAAATAAAATAAAAATTAAGGTAATGAAAAAGGGTGATCTATAATAAGTTTGCAAAATTTTTACCAAAATAGTCCAAGATACATATAGAACTAATAACAAAAATGATCTGGTAGTATGTTTTTTTTTTTTTTTTGCAAAAAATTCAATTTTGTCATATCATTGTTGCAAATAAAAATTCATAGATTTTTGTAAGAAAATTCAAATAGTTTTTTTTCTGAATCTTTCGAAATTTATCAATCATTTATCATTTTTAAATGAATTTTTCACACGGGACAAAGATTTTCAAATAGATTGAAGAAAAAGATTTGTCTATACCCTATTGAGGTTAAAAAATATACCACCCATGTTATTAAAAAAAAAAATTTCGCCTTGAATTTTTCTACGAAAAAAAAGTTTCTTTATTTTCCAATTAATATTTATCGATAGGGTAAGCCGTCCAGTCCGTGACCGCCCGCCAATGAATGACCGGTAATGAAAATAATGATTATAAAAATCCAAAAATTTAGTTAACTGTCAATGTTGCATCATAATTGTAATCTTACATATATTTTTCAATATTTAATATCCACGAATTAAAATAATTTAAAAGTGTATTTTCAAAATTCATAAAAATTATATCGAGAATCCGAGAACTTCTAGAAAACTATAAAATTTTGACAAAACTCTGTGAAAACGACTACTTAGAAAACTGTGAATTTTAGTTATAGATAATTACTTTTTGTCCAAAATACAAAATTTATAGACATTTGTGTAGATAAACTAATATTAAAATTGACCTATGATGGATATAATTTAACTTAATAATTTATTTATATTAATTTGGCGTCGGTCATTCACTGGCTTATTTGATAAGTGTGCTTTGCTAGTAAATGACTGACCAGTCATTTATTGGTAAGTTCGATATTTGCTACTACCAGTGAATGACCGTACGTTTATTTTGCTGTATCATCTTAAACACTTGCATAATATATGATAACAGATTAAATGTGATAAGAGTAAAAAATTATTCATATATATGAAAACTTTTTAAATGTCAATTATATGTTAAGTTTATGGATACTTTAATTTAAAGTAAATATGTTGAATGTGCTTGATTTATTTTCATTGTACACGGAAAGAAAATTATGGGAGCTATTTCTATACCATTATGGGAACTAATCTCATAATGCTATAGGAATCATTGGGGCTACCACATGATACATTCCTGTGGAAGATACATGACTTTCATGTGACAGGAACATGATTTTCATGTGGTAGTCAATAATAGTTGAAACAACATCAATAATAATTTACATTATTAAGAGAATAAGAACAATTTTGTCTCCTGGATAGTCACATAATGAAATCGATTTTTCTAGTGAAATTTAGTGTCATTGCAAAGGACATGACTTGAATTTGTTTCTTTCCAAGGTTTCATATCATTCTCGTCAACAGTCAATTTATGATGATAGATATTTATTTTGAGAATGATTCCCATAATGGTATAGGAATCATTACTATATCATTATGGGAATATTTCCCATAATATTATGGGAATGGTTCCTATAATTGTATAGGAATCATTCCTATAATTATAGGAACCATTCCCATCGTTATGGGAAATGTTCCCATAAAATTATGGGAAAAGTTCCCATATTTTTCTTTCCGAGTACTAAATAAATAAAAATTTTATTGTTTTATAAACAATCATTAGTTTCTCATTCATGTAAAACAAATCCCTATGAGAAATAATTTTAAAGTTGTAATTTATAAATTTGCACATTGGTCATTCACTGGATTGAGCCTGGTCATTCAATGGAATAGTACGGTCATTCACTGGGTTTTGTATAATCAGACTCATTTTATTAAATTTGTAAAATATGCGAAGATAAAGAAGACAATATTATTATAAAAATCGAAATAAAAATAATTTATGAATACAATTAAAACGGTCAAGTTAAGTTTTGAAGTTAATTATGACTAACAATAAGCTAAATTATCAGTACCGGAAACAAATCGGTCATTCACTGGCAGGTTTACCCTAATCGAATACGCATTACATGTGCTGTTGAAATTTGAAATCAATTGACCATACGAAAAATGAGATAATTGTAATTAAAAATGACATTTTAGCACAGACAGTATGAGTGGAGAGTGAGAAAGTCACAAATATTAATGGTTATTGCATTGAAAGGATTTTAAGATCGTTTCAAATAACTGATACCTGTTAGAATAATAAACTTAAAATAACCCAAAGAAATTTTGAAAATTTATACCATGTAGTTTTTTATAAATTGTTAATAAACTGGCTAGTTAAACAAAAATAACCATTAGTAAAATCGAATAAGAGATAACTCCTGAGAAAGGCAGCACTAGCGAGTGAAAAGAAAAAAAATAGCACAAACTATATGTCCCGAGTGAACTACCTTAATAATTTAACTAATCAAAATATTTTATTTTCATGCAAAAATGTGTAGAAAAAAATAGTAAAACGGATTTCATGAATTTTTTTCATTCTATAAGATAAAAAAAATTTTTAGCTTTATTGTAGGAAAAAAGTAGAGGCAATGAAGAGAAAAAATATACAATAAGTTTAAAATTGAGATAATTTCTAAAATAGGCCAGAATTCATATTGAACTAATAAGATAAATATGACAATTATCTAGGTAATTACCATTGCCAAGAAACAGAAATAAATATTTTTCTTATTACTTTTGGCAATTTTTAGGTTGAAAAAATTTTTGCACGAAAATTATTAATGAATAAGTCTTTAATTTTAGCTGAATCATCCAGGAAGTAAAAAACAGTTAGAAGAAGTGTGGGAAAAAGAAGATCATATGGAGCGTCAAGATTTCGATCCAAAAACATTCTTCTTTATGCACGATCTTGATGGTAACGGCGTTTGGGATGAAGACGAAGTGAAAGCTTTGTTTAGAAAAGAATTGGATAAAATGTATGAGCAGGGAGCAGCCGAAGATGATTTGATGGAAAGAGCTGAAGAAATGGAAAGAATGAGAGAACATATATTCAACGAAGCTGATCAAGACAAAAATGGACTTATTGAGTAATTATTATTTTTTTTTTATTTTTATCCTAATGCCGTTCCAATTTCTATTCAAAATATTTTTGTTTATTAGCTATCAAGAATTCTTGATACAAACCAAACGTAACGAGTATGAAAACGATCCCGGTTGGAAACCAATCGATGAACAAGAAATTTACACTCCAGAAGAATATGAAGCGTATAAAAAAGAACACGATATTAAAGAACAAGTTGTAGAAGGATTGGTGAGTTATAGTTATTTTTAATAATTAAAAATTTTCTTTTTTAATTAACAAATACTAAGTCCACAATGGCGTCTGTCTGAGACATATTTTTTTACATCATGATTTATCTTTTGTTTTCATTTTTATTGCAACTTTTAAAAGCACTTAATGTGTAATTTTTAATTGAAATTTATAATTGTGTGTCACGGCTTAGTACTTTTCAGTGACATTTTTTTTTCTTCTAAATTTTATAAATGATTATTTAAATAAAGTTTGGTCTAAATAAGCAGAATACTAATAAATTGTTTATGAAAGAATTCGGGTTGTACAATTTGGTCGGTTAGACCGGCTAAAAAAGATAGCTAAATTTAATTAAATTTCAAAATTTTCCCACTTTTTGATTTTTCAAAAATTTTACGCAAAAAAAAATTTTTTTATAGTCCTAAGTATCCCCTTTAAAATGAACTTTGGCCCATGTCTGTAACTATAATAGTTTCCGAGAGATGTTACACTCATCAAGAGCTTTTATTTGAGTACCCACATGCATTTTTTATATATTTTATATATATGGTATTTGTAAAATATATAAATATATAAAATATATGAAAAATTGATGTGGGTACTCAAATGAAAGGTCTCGATGAGTGTAACATCGGGATGAGCTTATATCTTTAAAAATGTCAATAGTTCTCAAGATACAAGGTCGTTTCTTAATTATGTATCTATAGATAAAGAATTTTCGAATGCAGTCTAAATACTGATCATCATAAATTGAATATCGGTGAAAATGATATGAAATCTTGAAAAGACACAAATTCAAATCAAGACCTTTGCCATGGCACTAAATTTCACTAAAAGAACCGATTTTATCATATGACTATCATGGAAACAAAATTTTTCTTATTCTCTTAATAATATAAATTGAATTAAATAAAATAATAAATGTGACAAAAAAAAAACTTGGATGGAAAATTTTTTTACACTATTTTGATGTTTTTTTTCCGTTTCTATTGCACTGAATAAATTTTTGAAAAATATGGAATTAATCTTCATTAATAAATCTTGACAATATTGAATAAGTAAAAAGTAAGGGAAAAAACCTACCACTTTAAAAAATTCTGAGGATAATCAAATCGGAACATGGCGTCATCATCCTCAACATAGTTTTCTGATAACAAAGTGTAAAGCTCTGCGAGAACTAGAGGGTCATCGAGGTTTAAAGTGTCCCATTGAAAATCAGCTGGCAGTGAATAAGGTTCTGGCCTTATTGATGTCTTGTTCGGCTCAATTGGTTCATTTATTGATATTTTTTCATCTGCAAAATTAATTATTTAATTCAGATTCAATATCAATTAACTAGCAATATATTTATACAAAAAAAAAGTATTTAAAATAAATTCATCTATAAAACTCTGTTAAGAAATTATTTTTATTAGTTTACTTTTGCTAATATAAAAATTATAAACTTCAATTGAAAAAAAAAAAAAAAAAAACATCTTTAGATTAAGAATAGTAAAGAAATTTTGATGATTTGCAGACATAATTAGATCTCAATTTTTTTTATTTACATAAAAAAAATCAAAAAATGTTGATTAAAAATTATAATAAAAGACAATAATTACGCGTCGTTCTTGCAAGTATTTAATTAATGATATTGAAAAAATATTGCAAAAATATTTTGTATACCTTGCCATTTGGCAACAGCCTTGGCATTATTAAATAAATAAATAAAATATTTAAGATTAAGAATATTTTCACTGTAAATCCAAAATTGATTCATAATGAATAATTCAAATTTTTTCTAATTATAAAAATCTTAATTTTAAAGTTACGGCTTTCTGATTGGCCCTAAGAGAAAATTATAAGAGACATTTTTTTATAAGATTAAATTTTAAAAAGTTTTATTCTAAAAAAATTTTTTTATGACCAATATATTCGTCGTAATATCAAAAATTATCAATTGTTATTTTGAAATTAAAGCAAAAATCCTGCATATGAAAATGATTATTACTATTATTATTAAATTTGATGATTCGAAAAAAAATATAGTTTGATATTTCTGATAATGGTTAATATTAATTTTATAAATATCGTGATAAAAATTTTAAATAAATCAATTAACTTGGACGAGCTTTTTAATATATTTAATTGGATATGGTTCATTTTAATTATTACGGACTCTAAATATAAAAATTAAAATAAAAAAATTTGTTTGTATATTAAAATGTCATGAGCAGTTTTTTTTTGTAAATTAAGGACTGTGCTTTTTATATTGTAAAATTTTTAAGTATTTATTAATTTATTTTTTAGATATTTGTATTGAGTTTTTGATTTTACATGGAAATTATTATTTGTTTATTTGTTTGTAAACACATAGGTGCCTTATGATGTCAGAATAAAACTGACAAAACGTCGCATGTTAAAATAAATGGAATAAAACACATAACATCAATTTGGTCTACAACATCCTGATTTTAATTAATTTATCACAAAAAAATTTTTTTTAAAATGATTTTTTGTCAAAAAAATAAAAAAAAATTTGTTCAAATTTTTTTTCAAAATTTGTCACTAAAAAAAAAAAAGTTTGCGCTCTAATCTCTCCCCTTGACAATTAGAGACTCATTTATAATAAATGCATTAACTTACTACTATCAAGAATGTAAAAACCTATTCTATGAAAAATGTACAAATACAAGATCTAAGCTGCTAATCTAAGCTACCAAAAATAAACAAAACTATTAGTACTCAGAATGCTTATTATGTAGCAATTAAATATTATAACAAACTCCCTGCTGATATGAAAACTATAGACTGTAGTAAAAAATTGTTAAAAAAAAAGTTAAGTTACTGGATAAGAAACCTTAATGGTTAACATGCTTAAAAAATGTAATGGAAAATGCGAGTATTTGATTGGATATTTGTTTTTATGATAATTATTTATAATTTTGTATTTCTTTCTTTATAAATTTATTACTTTTTGTACTTATTATCTTTTTGCATTGTATTATCAACAAAAATTTTGTAAAAAGTATATATATTGTAAAATTTATATTTTTGTACTGGTTCTATAAACAGGTGTCTTTGCACTTCGATAGAATTCTTTACCAGATAAATAAATAAATAAATAAATAAATAAATAAATAAATAATAAAAAATATATTTAATTATAAAATTACCCATTTTAGGAACAGGCTGCGTGCTCCAGAACTGATAAGTCTTCTGCAGAGCTTCTTCTTGAGTCTTAGCAGGTTTGTGCTGCATCTTCAAAACCTCCATCGCCATCTGGATTTCTTTTATTGAAAAGCAGGCTCCGGGTACTTCACCGGAGGCGTTTGTGCTCGTCATCTCCGAACTGGTCATCGTCGGGCTAATAATCTGATTGTTCTCACCAGAATTTGCCGTCTGATTTTTCTTCTTCCGGTCGCGTTTTTTCGAGCTGCTCATTTAAATAATAGTTACAATAAAATTTAATTATTTCTTAATTTATAAAAAATAATAAACAAATTCAAATGTCCCGCGTCACATTCAATGCCAACATTTAAAAAAAATCAACTAATTACCTAAAAATAAATAAAAAAAAACCGCATAATTATTTTTATATTAATTATGTTAAGACTTAATTAAAAAAAATTATTTTGTTAAGAAAAATATTTTTTTTTAATTGATAAAATTAAAGAACTTTTTTTCTGCCGGGCAAAGGGCGTGAGTGGAAATATTTATTGTTTAGACAATTTATTTAATGGCCGGAAAAAAATATTTTATACTTACTCGGTAATAAACATCAAGGTTAAGTTTAATTATAAAAAATTAAGTTGTACATACCTTTTGCTTTTAGCATTTTTGTCATGATTATCCTCTTTTTTATTTTCACGATCCGAATCCCGATTCTTGTCCTCCATCTTTAATATAGATTTTAACTTTAACTATTGCTATTATATATGTGTAAGAGACGTGACTCGTATTCATGTGTACCTGTGTATTTATCAATGTACACAAGTGTAAGTTTTGTAAAATGTAAATGTATGGATAAAAGTAAAGATATGTATACTTTCTGCAAGAAACTAGAAGCTGTGCAGACCCACGTTTCCGGTTATTCGGTCATCTTAGTTAAGTTGCGCAGTGTTATGCTAAAGTTACTAGATTTTATTGTTGTCGAAACTGTTTAGGGTGTTTTGTTGGTACGTCGGATCACTCAGATGACCCCCCGGACAGTCGATAGTTGTTAATATTAACAGCGGGAATTTTTGAATTATTGCACTAAGGTATTATTATTTTTATTAATTTAAACTTTATTATTTTTGATTTGTTAGCAGCCAGTTAACAATTTTTTAATTTTATTTAACAAAAAAATTTGTTCCGAAAAATTATTTTTAAAAAATAGCATTTGTAATTTTTTTAAATTTCTAAATGTCAATTTTTTTCATCATATATGATTATAAATTAATAAATAATGATTATAATAAATAATAATTTATTAGTTAAAAATATTCTTAAAATTATCAAATGTCTGCTAAGTTAATTTTAATTGAAAAATATGTTAATTATTAAGAAAAATCTTTTATAACACATTTAAAAATTTTTATTATTTTATTTATTTCATAATTAATTATGGTATCTAAAAATCTCTAAATTTATTTATTTTAATAATAATAGAATAATAATGTTATTATTATATTATATTAGAAATATTATTACACGGAGAAAATAAAAAAGGGAAAATTACATTATCTAAGTCCCTGACACTTTATATAAATTCTGTAAATCTTTATGTATACTGCCGATTGGCGTTAGTATAAATAAATAAATAATAATGGCTCTTCATAAATAAATAACTGGAAAAATTATAGTTTTAATTTTGAAAATGTTGTTTCGAACTGCAATTGTTATAGTTTTGAACTTGAAGCGACTATTATTATTATTTAAAATGCAATTTTTCCCTTTTTTTTACCTATATGTATATTGATAATATTTTATGAGAAAATTTATTGATTATTAAATAAATATTTACCATCATTATTATTACCTAAGCGTGTCACAAAAAAATGTCGACTTTTTGGTAGATTTTACTCAACAAGAAGTCAAAAATTGATAATCGTTGAAATTAATGAAGCCCTAATTTTTCATTTATTATTCAGTAAGTGTGTATAAATGAAAATTTTGGATAGTTGTAAAAAATTCTAGGAAATTTATTATTAATTTTTAAATATTTACACGCGATACTTAACAAAATGTTTTGATTATTACTATAAAATTAAGTTAGTGAACTTAAAATAAATGTAACTTTTTAAAATATTAATCTTACCCAAGCGGCACAAAAATTTTTTTGGTAATATTTTGTTGAATTTAAGTTGACAAATATTAATTTTTGACTTTTTGTTGAATAAAATTTACCAAAAAGTCAACAATTTTTTATGTGACGCTTGGGTAACTTATAAACTCAGAGAAAATCAGGATTTTTAAAAAAAATTATTTTCACATTATTTTATTCTTTATTTTCATCCCAGATAGCAATATGACGTCTTTTACAGTTCTCAAAGAACTCTTATTTAAGATTTAGACGTCAGAATTTTGATCAAAATGAGGTCTCCAAGACGTTTTGAGGACGTCCAATGCGCCACCTAAAGAGTGAATCAGGACTTCATAGAGAGAGTTCTTAAAGAGCTCTTTTTTCTGACTTCAAAAAAAGAGTTCTTCAAGAAGTCAGAATTAAGAGCCCTTTCTGACTCCAGAAAAAAATAGTTCATAGAGGGTGATTTTCAAGTTTTAATTGTAATTAATATTAAAAAAGAGCTTAAATTGAAGACAATCAAGTACATTAAAATATATTTTCTTCGAAATAAAAAAAAAAAAAAAA